ATGTGTGCCATATAATCACTGAAGATTATCCAGTTTTTTATTATCTATTCTCTGTTGAAGGACCAGTGTCAGCGTGCCTAAGCTTTTCTACTCTAATGACAAAAAAGTAAGAAGCAGGCTTCAGCAAAATTGAGAAGTGTAATATAGCTGTTCCCAGTGCTGGAGAGCGCTTATCCCTGTAAGAATGTAATATATAGGACAACAGATCACCGCAATCTGGAAATGTCTACTTGCTTTATAATTTATGGTTCTGTTTCAAGGTGTATCATTGCACATGTCTTCTTATGATTTATAATTCATAAAAAGTCTTTGCATTATGCTGAATAGAACAGACCTGGCTCTTATTTAACTCAGGTATGTGGCTTTTTTATAAAAGGAAGAAGAGGTGTTGTCCATATCAACAAATCCTAACTTTTTATTTTACAACTTCTTCATGAAAAAATAGTAGTAAATGACTGATATAAACAACACATCTTCCTTTTGAACTCTGCCCAGCTGGCAAGTGAATCTACAAGAGAAGCCTCTAGGAGCCCCGAATTGCAAACGCACTTATATAACATATACAAAATGCAAAAGTTATATACAGTAACATCTCCCCATGTCTTCTAATAATGCAAGTTAATGACAAATCAGTACTTTTGATTCTATTATTGACGTGGTGACAAAAGGGAGGGTAAGTACATCATTAGGGTCATTATTTCTTGGCATTTAATTGATGAACCTACAGTACTGGCAGAACAATGTTGGTTGCAGTTAGGGTCTTAGATATTCCTAATTTTGGGTCAAAGAGAAGTACGGGAAATACCAAAGCCAAAAGAATTGCTGAAGGTCAAATGCCAGATAAGGTAGTCAGACAATAGAAGAGATCAAATCTGTGTGAACCATCCAAAAATAAAACAATGTACAAAGATAAACCAAACAGTGACTGACAGTTTTGTCACAGGTGGTTGGCAAACATGAAAGTGATGGTCTTAACTAGAACTCCTAGTAGTGGAGATGGAGTTGTGCTACTTGCACCTCCAGGCAGTCGCTTTCACTTGCGACATAAAAGACATGAACAATAGGACTTGATGTTTCAATCGCTATAGTACGTTGGCACTCCTGATGTTAGGATCTGTGGTGAACCACAGAGAGAGTAGGTATATTATAGGGGTGATCAGGTGGGCACCCTCCTTCAATGAAGTTTCCTTGATAAGCCAACTATATTTTCTTAGCGTTGAAGGGTGATACCTGCCATCCCAAGTACACCCCCTGAGTTCCATACTTTCATATCTCATCTTGCAGCCCAATTGTTGCCTTTTCATTTTCCAATTACTGCTTTTTTTTCTTGGGGATATCCAACAAGTCAATTTGATTTCCAACATATGCACACCTCTGACTACTCCCTTGCAGTTTCAAGAACTCCTAGGGAGGATGCAGCCCTGAACTATGGCTAAACCCATTATTATAACGTGTGTGCACACCTGCACACTATGCCTGCTGGTCTCTGATAAGAAATGGACACAGGGGTAGAGGCTTCCTCCCTCCCAAAGCTCTTTGAAGCCTCCAAACTCCGAAACCCAATAAGGGTTATGTATACCAAAACCTAGAAAAAGCTGTAAAGCCACCTTTCTTCACTCAGCATGAACATTCTAGAGCCCCTCACTCTGCATTCATGAGAAACCTATGTGCTTTTTACCTTTTTTACCCAGTAACAGGGCCTAGCACTGTCAAAATTCTTAATCCTAGTGTTAAAAACTTACATAGCCAGGTCACTGATCTCACTTTGTCTGCTGCAGTTGAAGAAATAAAGCTTGATCAAGGATAACCTCAACCTGTGATTGGATAGTAAAAGAAAAGCAGAAAAATAATGGGATCATTCTTGTGCTGTCTGCTCCTATTGGCAACCTCTCTCTCTCATTTGTGGAAAGATGGACAGAAATGTAAAATGAAGGAGCATTTTTTTGGGGATGCAATAGCATGTACTATATACAGTATTGTGTGTTAATATCACTTGACCAGTAGATGGCACTGTACACTAAGGTTACCAGTTGTGCATATCTGTAAAACTTGTTGGTTCTTTTTCTCTTCTCTCTCTCTTCAATAACCAAGATGTCTGCTGTTACAGATTGCTGAAATGTTTTGTATGTTTGCAACTTAAGCCACACAAGTAAACCAAGTTCTGCCTCATCACAAGCTACTAGTGTCTTCTCTAACACATAACCAACACATTTGACTTGTATGCAGTACAGTCCCTTTCTCTCTCTTCTATGTTTGACTGAATACAGTAAATAAAATAAGTATTCAACACATCACCACATCAATCAAATGCTGTGAGGAGGAAGCAGGGACAAGCAGCACTATGTGTTTCTATGGACGGGGACATTTAGCACTGTGTGTATCTATAGACACACACAACATGGCTCAGTGTCCAGCCTGCATGTCTGTCCCTATAGCAAGTGGTTGACTATGGGGCAGACACAGAAGAGGAGATTTAGAGCTGCTCTGTAAAGTGGTATTGTATATATTTGTTATAAGTGTGTTATTTTTTTTTAAAAAAAAAGATTGCCTTTCTGTCATACCGAACTCTGCCTGAATGTTTGCTTTAAAGTCAATCTCATAGCAGTTACTTAATTGTAATGTGCATCTCACTAACTGCTGCTGTGTGCAGCAGGCGGTACAATATCCCTACATAGCTTTATATTGGTGCAAAGCTTCTGGCATGCACCTGGGGAACCTGACTAGGCCAGCCACAGACACTACCAGAATTTCTAGATTTTCTGCAAACTTTAAGCTCTTGCCCTTTCACCCTGCCATCCCAATATTTAGCAGATTGCCTCAGCAAACATTAGAGATGTTGCCTGTTAGATTTTTGGAATGGGAGAAATTGTCAGATCTCAGATTTGGTTAAACAGCTGAGGATACATATGGGGATTGGCACAAAACTGAATGTAGGTTGTAGTTTCTGCTGTATGAGGCTACAGTTTGGGAGATAGAGTTTGTGTCATTTTTATATTGTTCAGTAGGAAAACTGAAATGGTCAACTAAGGCTACTTTTCACACTACTCCTTTGCAATACACGGTAAACACATATATGCATTTTTTATTGCCTTTTTACCACTTTTTTGCCGCGTTTCCAGTGCGTTTTGCACCTGTGAAAAAAAGGACATGTGACTCAAAAAACTCAAAAAAAAACGCAACCACAGGTGCATTTGATGTGTTTTCCATTCATTTCAATGGAGAGGTGGGTATTTGGTGCATTTTTTTTTACCACACCCAACATGCCCCAAATGCAGCAAGAAGGACTTTGAAAAAAGCAATGGACCCTTAACTGACCAGTGTGAGGAGTTCCATAGGATTTAATGATCAGAAAATTGATGCTGCGGTAATAACAATAATACCACAGACATTCCAAAACAAATAAAGAGATGAGAAGACAATAGATAATACACCATAACATAATCAGTAAATGGAAGGAATATGGGAGTGAAGGGAAAGGTGAAATGATAAAGGTCCAAAATGAGGACCAAAAGGTGTAACAGACAATAAACCGGGACTGTGGGCAAAAAGCACGGAAATGATCAGGGAAGCAGTATCAATTTTCTGATCATTAAATCCTATGGAACTCCTCACACTGGTCAGTTGAGGGTCCATTGCTTTTTTCAAAGTCCTTCTTGCTGCATTTGGGGCATGTTGGGTGTGGTAAAAAAATGCCCCAAATACCCACCTCTCCATTGAAATGAATGGAAAACACATCAAAATGCACCTGTGGTTGCGTTTTTTTTTTTGTGAGTTTTTTGAGTCACATGTCCTTTTTTTCACAGGTGCAAAACGCACTGGAAACGCGGCAAAAAAAGTGGTAAAAAGGCAGTAAAAATGCTTTTTGCCCACAGTCACGGTTTATTGTCTGTTACACTTTTTGGTCCTCATTTTGGACCTTTATTATTTCACCTTTCCCTTCACTCCCATATTCCTTCAATTTACTGATTATGTTATGGTGTATTATCTATTGTCTTCACATCTCATTATTTGTTTTGGAATGTTTGTGGCATTATTGTGATTAGCGCAGCATCAATTTTCTGTTTGTTGTTTTTTGCTAGTGGTATAGCCAGGTGTGTGCTGCTGTCCCAATAGTCCCATCTTTTCTAGTAGCAACGCAAAAGGTTTTTTACATATTTTTTTACAAAGGATTTAATGGTTATGCATTTTTCTTTTTCTTTTGTGATGCAAAAAAAAAAAGAAATACTAATCAGTGTGAAAGCAGCCTAAGATGTCTGAGCTTTGAGATAATATAATGATGGAAAATTGAATGACAGCTACTTACCCTAATCTTCCTTTCCTGATGGGCTCCATGTCAGCACAGCTGGGTAAGGGGCCCGTCCCCCCATGCTTCAAGGACCTAACTCATAAATTTGAGCCCACCTGCAGCATCAGCATTCTGTACCTAATCCTACCAAGCTGGGTGGGGATTGTGCAGACAAGTAGCCCGTCAGGAAAGAAAAATTACGGTAAGTATCTGTCATTCAATTTTCCATTTTCCTGACAGCTCCATGCAGCAAAGTTGGGAACTAACTAGCCACACAGGAGAGGGCTAATCCTTCACACACCTCAATTCTGGCTTAAAAGCAGCCAGGATCAAAAGAAGCCAGAATGCTTCTCCCAAACTCATACAGTAATGAGCCATGAACGTATATATTGCATCCACGTAGCTGCCTTACAGATAGTGTCTTGGCACACTCAACCTGCTGCCGCTCACAAGGTCCAGACCCTTCGGGTGGACAGCGAAGTGATCCCTCTGGCACAGCCAACCCTTTCACCTTGTAGGCCATGGAGATGAGCTTCATCAACCAGGAGGCAATAATCTTGTTTCAAGACATAAAATCATTACACACTCCACCTGGAATGACAAACAAGTGCTCCGAATTCCTGATGCCAGATGTCACCTTCCACTCTAACTGCGCATGCGCGGCTTGGGGGGGGAGTGCACAGCGCGGCGATCAGTGGTGCGCTGTGTCCTTTGGACACAGTGGATCACCGATCGACGGAAAGAGCCGAAGATGTCGGCTCAGTCATGTGATTAGCTGTGTCCAATCACAGCTGATCGCATGTAAATAGGGCAATGCCAGTGATCGGCATTTCTCTCCTCACAAGCTGTCACGCTGACAGCTTGAGAGGAGAGTAGAGCCGGTAATCAGCATTCCTCAGAGGGGACATGTACACTAATCATCAGGGCACTGATGATCAGTGTGCCCTGATGATCAGTGTGGCCCCAGAAGTGCCACCTGTCAGTGCCCATCAGTGCCACATCAATGCCACATATCAGTGCCTACCAGTGCACATCAATGCCACATATCAGTGCCCATCTGAGCTGCCTTTCGGTGTCACCTCTCAGTGCCAGTCGGTGCCACCTATTAATGCCAGTCAGTGCCACCTATCAGTGCTGCCAATCAGTGCCACCTATCAGTGCCCATCAGTGGAGCCTAACAGTGCCAGTCAGTGCCACATAACAGTGCCAGCCAGTGCCGCCTAACAGTTCCAGGCAGTGCCACCTATCAGTGCCAGTCAGTGCCGACTATCAGTGCCACCGATCAGTGCCATATATTAGTGCTGCCTCTCAGTGGCCATCAGTGATGTCTGTCAATGCCAATCAGTGCCTCCTACTAGTGCCTCCTCATCAGTGCAGCCTATCAGTGCCCATCACTGCAGCCTCATTAGCGCACATCAGTGAAGGAGAAAAATCACTTATTTACAAAATTTTATAACAAAAACTAAGAAAAAAATGTTTTTTTTTTTCAAAATTTTCATTTGTTTTTGGTTTGTTTAACAAAAAATAAAAACCCCAGAGGTGATTAAATACCACCAAAAGAAAGCTCTATCTGTGTAAAAAAAAATGCTAAAAATTTCATATGGGTACAGTGTTGCATGACCACGCAATTGTCATTCAAAATGCGACAGCGCTGAAAACTGAAAACTGGCCTGGGCAGGAAGTGGATATAAGTGCCCTGTAGGCTAGCGGTTAAAGCTTGACCCAAATCTGGCTAACTTCTTGAGTACTCCCCAAGAGGGATGTAGGAAGGAACTTTCTGCGTAGTATGAAGGCCACTTAGGCACGATCTTGAGCATCAGCATGAGTACATCCCTATTCAGGCTGAATGTAAGAAAGGGTTCTTTAAACCCCAGGGCCGGTAATATGGACACTCTTCTGGTCGATGTAATTGCCACCAGGAAAGCAGTTTTCAATGAGAGGTACCTCAAGGGGCCACTTTGATTGAAGGCATCTGATGCAAGCAAGTCCAACACCAATGGGAGATCCCACTTCACAAACAATCCCTTAGGTAGATTTCAACCAAGTTGCAGCTTGAAGGACAGTATAATTGAGTGTTGGACGCCCACTGTATGCCGGTGAAGGCATAGATAGCTGAAATGTGGTCCCATAGTGTACATACGCATAAACCTAAATCAAGCCCCGCCTACAGAACCTTCAGAATGTGACGGACTTATGAAGAGCCCAGTGTAAAACCTTGATCAGTAGCAATCCTGTGAATTCATGTCATATTCTACTATAGGAACTGTTAGTGCTGTTGTTCTTTGTTTTCATAAAAGTATTCACAACCTTTACAGAGCCCCAGAGATTTATTAATCTCTGCTTCTCAAGACCCAAGCCATGAGCTTGAGCCTGTCAGGTGTTGGATGAATGTGACTTTGGAGAATCCAATCTTACCGGCAGAGGAAGTGGATCCTGTGCAGTCATTATTAGGGACAGAGGGTATTAAGGCCTCTTCAACCAATCTGGGATCAAAACCAGAAATATCACCTTCCCCTGCCACAGCCTCAGCAGGAAGCTGAGAATCAGTGGGAGAGGCAGAAAGGCATAAGCTGTCCTGGAGATTCAATTTGCGAAGAATGGAAGATCTCCCAAATATGACCTGAAATGGTTGCCTTGAGTGACTATGTGTCCGTCAACAAAGTTGTACCTATGTCCAAAGAGGAACCACCAAATGCCCATAAGACATGTATGGATGGTACAATTCCCAACATACCAGAAAGCATCCTGACATGAAACTCTTTGTTGACTTCTTGGATTATGTGCTTGCTTTTTCTTTGACTCCCAGCCAGAAATGCAGAAGCTACCCTCTCTGGAGTAAGTGTGGAAATTATTTCTTGAACTCCAGTCTCTAACTCAACAGATGTTCATCTTGAGGCAGGAAGTCAAACTGACCACTTTTCAGACTTCACCTTCCAAGATCAAGAACAATGCAGTTATTGAGTACATCCTTGAAGGCCACATCATCTAATGGTAAAGTCATGTATCTGGCCAATCCCATAAGGGACACACCGACCAAAGAAGTGATTCACAACCCTTGACATCCTGCTGTGACAACATGCTCCAATCTTGTAGAACAGGCACTTGATTCAGTCACCATAAGGGAATTATCAAGCCGTCCTCTGGAGGCACTTGAAATACTTCCACAGTTTTGCTTCTATTTAGAGGAATTTCATCAACCTTACAAAAGGAGGAATCAACTTGGACAAAGGTCTTCCTCATCTTGTTTAGAAGGGACTGGTGAGGATTGATTGGCTTGAGAAGGCTCTGAGACCAGTTATAAAGGCCCTAAAAAGAAGACTGGACATTGTCATACTAGATGGCCCTTGCAGAAGGTGAATTCAGCAATTCCATTAGAGTGGCTTGACCACATGCTTAATTACTTGTGACAACTTGGTCACCATCATCTTAATCACTGTCTACATAAACAAAGCAGGAATCATACAGTCATGTTCGTCCACATGTTCTTTGGACAAATCTGGCAAGGGTTGACTTGACTGAGAAGGTTCTGAGACTTCTGATTGGCAGAAGGTAAGTGGAAGCAACTCCTTTAGAATGTATTGACCACATGGTCAATGAATGTGATAAATTGTTAGGTGTCAACTTCTTTATCTCTGGTTGCTTGAACCAGCAGGGCTCACACAGTCATGCTCACTTAAATCTTCTTTTGGAGGATTCTGAGGAGGATTGTTTGCCTGGAAGGCTAGGAGACTGGTCATTGATAGAACAGATAACCCTTTCACAGTGTGAGTGAAAACATTCCTTTGTAGTGTATTAGCCTCATGTGACAACCTGTTAGGTGTCATCTTTATCCTTGGTTGCTCGAACAAAGCAGTATTCATGCAATCATGTCCACTCACATTGTCCTCTTTGGAAACTCTGAAGAGGGATGCTTCGTCTGGGAAGACTAGGCAGCTTCTAATTGCCAGAGCAGATAACCCTTCAAAGGCTAAGTGGAAACTATTCCTTTAGTGCATTTACACTGTGATTATTGAATGTGACATCCTGTTTGGTGTCATCATCTCTATCCCTGGCTGCTTAAACCAGCAGGATACATAGTCATGCTCGTCAGCCTCTTCCATTTCATAGAGTCTGAAGAGGTTGTCTTGCCTGGCATGGCTATGAGACTTCTAATCGCCAGAACATATAACCTTTTCACAGGGTGAGTGGAAACAACTCCCTTTGAGTGCACTGGCCACTTAATGAATGTGACAACATGTTGGGTGTCATCATCCTCATTTGTGGTTGCTTGAACAAAGCAAGATTCATATTGTCATGTTCATTTTCTTTTCCCGTTTGGAGAGTCTGAAGAGGCCGTTGTGCCTGGGAAGGCTATGAGACTGCTCATTCTTAAAACACATAACCCCTTCACAGGGTGATGGAAACACTTACATTCATGTTCATCTTTGTCTTCTTTTTTGAAAAGCCCAAAGAGTTTTGTTTTTCTGGGAAAGCTCGGAGACTGCACATTGCCAGACTAGATAATCTTTTCACAGGGTTTTGCCTGCTGCTTAAAGCAGCTAAATAAAAAAAAACACTGCTAGAGGGATGCCGATACTTTAGCTTCCAACCATAGCTCTGAAGTCACCAGGAGGTTAATGAACCAAACCTTGCCCTGCCAGAGAACAGGACATGATGAAAATGTTTTGTTAAGAAAAGCAACAAAAAGGTAGAAATCTACATCAGAATTACAATAATATTTTGCAATGTACACAAACCATCCAAGGGAATCGTTGACATCATAAAAACCTTCTCTTTTTTTAGAAATTGGAGACCACAAACATGCATTAAAAGGATGTCCTATATTCCAACAGCAATGCTGGCTACAGTAGCCATCCACAGGTGACTCCTCTACCTTCTCTGGGAATGCTGGTCTTTTGAGGGGGTTGGCATAATGGCACAATAGTAAAGCAAACATGAGAGGCCACCAACAGGTAATGCCATGTGTGAACAGACAAAGTATTACTTTATTCACCTGTTATGCAGAGTATTATCTATGGAGGAGCTCAGGGTATGCACAGCGGCTGAAGGAAGCAAGGCACAACAATACCCAGCAAAGTAGCATTCAATTACAAAGCATTTTTACATTTAGCTCACTCAACCTCCATCATCCTACTGTAAACATTAGCACTGTGCAGGTGTGCGTGGCTAGAGAAGACTCTGCTGACACTGCTGTCCACTTCACATGGAGCCAGTGTACCTCAGACAAGGCTGGTAGCTGAGATATAAGCTGCTCTGAGGACCAGCAGTGGGGCTCCCTGGATTATGGATCATTTAGCCAGTTCACCAGAGACTGTGTCCAGATGACTCCCCACACTCTGACAGGCAGCTCTTTAGACCAGCCAGGTAGAGGAGCACACCTAGGTCGTGAACATGGGAGGAATAAATAGGAATGCTGAGGCTGCAGGTGGGCTCAAATTAGAGTTAGACCCTTGAAGCATGGAGGGAGCGGGGCCCTTACCCCAGCTGTGCTGATATGGAGCTATCAGGAAAGTATACTGGCCCAATGGTGACCCTACAACAGTAGTAGAATCTTTTGTATTTGCAGAGCAGCACTATTTTTTCCGGTGTGTACAGCCAAACGTTTCTAATAATAAAACCTAGCTATTTGCATCACATAATTAACACTGAATTCTTTATTTTCTCAAAGGACCCTTTTACAAAAATTGTTTGGATGGAAACAACTGTTAAAAAGCCAAAAACATCAGGTAAGCCAGGCAATATATTGGTGATCCTGCCTCCATGATAAAATGTAGTCTGTGCTCTTTTTCCATTTCTAGACTTTCCTATCTCTCCTTCAGTTCTGACAATAGCAATCTGTGACAAGAAGGAAATAAGGATATCAGCAATCTGTGCGTGGCCAGCTGTTTCTGAGTCTGAAATCCCATAGAACTTCCCTAACCACTGATTGCATTAACCTGCTTTCACCTGATACTTTTTAAAGACACATTGGTACTCGTGTTGGATACAAAGATTAAAGTGAATTCCAAGTTTAAATCCTTTGGGTGCTTCAAACTTTTTCACCTGGTTATATCTATATATGGATTCTTCACTCTTTCACTATAGACCCTAGAAGGGCTGGGTTAACATTAAGCAAAATAAGCACATGCTTAAGCACCACGGGCAGGGGGTCATAAAGGTT